GATCATTTAACATCAACATTTTTAAATTTTGAATGATTTTAAAAAGATTTAGGTCTTGGGGTGAGCACTGTGGTGTAGCAGGCAAAGCTGCTACCTGAGACACCTATGTGGGCACCTGTTCATGTCCCAGCAGCTCTACTTCCCACCCAGTGCCCTGTTAATGGCCTGGGGAAGCAAAGGCAGCTGAGAATGACTCAAGTGCTTGGGCTCCTGTACCCATCTCAAAGACCTGGATGAAGCCTCTGCCTGGATGAAACCTCTGGCTCCTTGTTTGGCCCCACCCAGTCCTGGCACTGTGGTCATTTGAGGAGGAAAGCAGCAGATCGAAGACCTCTCTCTCTGCTTCTCTTGGTATCCCTGCCTTTCAAATAAATAAATATTCCATTTAAAAAAAAAGTTAAAAATTTGGGTCTTTTTACTTCATTAACTGCATGCTATGTACTAAATGGAGGAATAGCATGGAACATATCTTGCAATCTTGTACAAAGTAAAACTTATTTTATTTTACAGCAAGCATTGTAGGTAGAGGAAAAGATGACAACAAACACATACATATATATGCTTAAGTATATATGCATATGTAATTTAATGCATTTCCTAGTGGAATCCAACTACTGCTATATTCAAATAAATGAAGGAAAGGAAAACAGACAAATGCATTTTTAATTTGAGATACTGTTTTGAAGTTTAAAAAGAAGTTTTTTTTTTTTTTTTTTCACAAGAAAATAGATATTAGTATGGGCCAAATTGAAAGGGGAAAATATGATCATCAAGTACACACACTTTATATAATCAGTCCTTACAAGACATCACAATTCTGTCAATGGAATGGGATTGTCTCAACAGGCTATAAAAATATATTGAGGGGGTCAGCATTGTGTCACAGCGGGTAAAGTCACCTCCTGCAATATGGGTGCTTGTTTATAACCCAGCTGCTCCATTACTGATACAGTTCCCTGCAAATGGCCTGGGAAAAGCAGAGGATGGTCCAGTGTTGGGGCCCCTGCCCCCATATGGGAGACTTGTCTGAGGTACTTGCTTTGGCCTGGCCTAGCCCTGGCCATTGCAGCCATCTGAGGAGTGAACTAGCAGATGAAAGATCTCTCTCTCTCTCTCTCTCGGCCTCTCCCTCTTTCTCTCTGTAATTCATTCAAATAAATAAATAATTAAATAATGAGTTAAAAAAAAAGAAAAAAAATTCTCAATTAAACCACTTAAGATAGAGAGGAAGGCCGGCGCCACGGCTCACTAGGCTAATCCTCCGCCTTGCGGCACTGGCACACCAGGTTCTGGTCCCGGTCGGGGCACCGGATTCTGTCCTAGTTGCCCCTCTTCCAGGCAAGCTCTCTGCTGTGGCCAGGGAGTGCAGTGGAGGATGGCCCAAGTCCTTGGGCCCTGCACCCCATGGGAGACCAGGAGAAGTACCTGGCTCCTGCCTTCAGATCAGTGTGGTGCGCCAGCCGCAGTGGCCATTGGAGGGTGAACCAACGGCAAAGGAAGACCTTTCTCTCTGTCTCTCTCACTGTCTACTCTGCCTGTCAAAAAAAAAAAAAAAAAAAAAAAAAAAAAGATAAGGTAGAGAGGATACCATTTTAAACAAGACGAACAATGGGAACAATCCTCAAAAAATCAAGTATTTGTGGAATATGAGTCAGCTAATCTGAGTAGGGAGGCACCATCACAGAATCAGAAGTTTAAGAATGCATGGACAGGGCTGGCATCATGGTGTGGCAGAGACAGCTTTTGCCTATGATGCCAACATCCCATATGGTGCTGGATCACCTGCGATGCTGCCATCCCATACACTGCCCAGCAGTTTCCCAGTTGCTCCATTTCCTATCCATATCCTTGCTAAAGGCCTGAGAAAGGCAGAGGAGCACGGCCCAAGTGTTTACGCCCCAGCTACCCATGTAGGAGAGTTGGATAAAGCTCTGGGCTCAGCCTTGGCCACTGTGGCCATCTAGGGAGTAAACCAGTGGATGGAAGGGCTCCCTCTTTTTCTCCCTCTCTCTATGACAAAAGAGAGAGAGAGAGAGAGAGAGAGAGAGAGAGAGAAAGAGAAGAGAAAATAAAAGGAGAAAAGAAAACACAGAAAACACAAAGAAAGAAAAAGAAAGTTAATTGACAAATATTCAGGTGAAGAAAAAGCTTCAATGTCTCCCAAAGGAGACAGCCTTTCTCCTGCCTGATGATAATGAGAAATCACAAAGCTTTTGAACAGAGAAGTGACATGATTCAACAGGTCCTTCACAAAGTTTTGGATTTTTGTTGTTTTTGTTTCAGCAAGGAACTAAAAGGATTTGAGAAGTGAATAAAAGTAGTAAGTCACATTGGATGTTTTGAAATTCAAATTGAACATTACGCATTTTTGTGGGAAAAAATAAAGAACTATAGACAGGCACAGGGTCACTTAAATATGGTGCAAAACCACATTATGTACATTTAGATCTATTGCCTAAGTGAATCCATCTATCCAGTGATTTATATCCAATGATGTTGACACTTAAGCAAAACAACCATCTAATATCTAATTCTAAGGGTACAATTCAAACGCTACAGTGAGACAAACTATATACATTTAAACTAAGTACAGGGAAATTAGTTAACTAATATCACAGCAGACACTGTTAATGTGGCTCAAAGAGACTAAGAAATTTCTGACCGGTAACTTGCTATGTTAAATTTAAAACCTGCATGTGTAGGAGTTTTGTTTTTAAGTGAAAATCAAGGAAGTCTCAGATTATGTAAAACATGATTTCCCCAAATTTTTATGAACACAATGTTGAGATAATTTTTTTTTAACTTTTATTTAATGAATATAAATTTCCAAAGTACAGCTTATGGATTACAATGGTTCCCCCCCATAACGTCCCTCCCACCCACAACCCTCCCCTTTCCCACTCCCTCTCCCCTTCCATTCACATCAAGATTCATTTTCATTTCTCTTTATATACAGAAGATCAGTTTAGCATACATTCAGTAAAGGTTTCAACAGTTTGCTGCCACACAGAAACATAAAGTGAAAAGTACTGTTTGAGTACTAGTTATAGCATTAAATCTCAATGTACAGCACACTAAGGACAAAGATCCTACATGAGGAGTAAGTGCACAGTGACTCCTGTTGTTGACTTAACAAATTGACACTCTTGTTTATGGCCTCAGTAATCACCCTAGGCTCTTGTCATGAGCTGCCAAGGCTATGGAAAACCCCTGAGTTCACCGACTCTATTCATATTTAGACAAGGCCATGGTCAAAGTGGAAGTTCTCTCCTCCCTTCAGAGAAAGGTTCCTCCTTCTTTGATGACCTGTTCTTTCCACTGGGATCTCACTCGCAGAGATCTTTCATTTGGGTTTTTTTTTTCTCTTTTTCTTTTTCTTTTCTTTTTTTTTTTTTCTCCCCAGAGTGTCTTGGCTTTCCATGCATGAAATACTCATGGGCTTTTCAGCTGGATCCACATGCCGTAAGGGCTGATTCTGAGGCCAGAGTGCTGTTTAGGACATCTGCCATTCTGTGGGTCTGCTGTGTATCTCACTTCCCATGTTGGATCGTTCTCTCCCTTTTGTATTCTATCAGCTAGTATTTGCAGACACTATTCTTGTTTAGTTTGGTTCTTAGTCCTATCATTATGATCAATTGTGAACAGAAATTGATCACTAGTGAGATGGCATTGGTGCATGCCACCTTGATCGGATTGAATTGGAATCCCCTGGTATGTTTCTAAGTCTACCATTTGAGGTAAGTCAGCTTGAGCATGTCCCGAATTGCACATCTCTTCCCTCTCTTATTCCCACTCTTATATTTAACAGCGATCACTTTTCAGTTAAGTTTCAGCATTTAAGAAGAATTGTGTGTTGATTACAGTATTCAACCAAAAGTATTAAGTAGAACAAACAAAAAAAAATACTAAGAGGGATAACATATTAAGTTGCTCATCAACAGTCAGGGTGAGGGATGATCAAGTCACCGTTTCTCATAGTGTTCATTTCACTTTAACAGGTTTCCTTTTTGGTGCTCAGTTAGTTGTCACCTATTAGGGAGAACAAGTGGTATTTGTCCCTTTGGGATTGGCTTATTTCACTCAGCATAATGTTTTCCAAATTTATAAATTAAACATGGTTTTAACTATTTCAAAAATAAAAACCATGTTACAATCCTAGTGCACCTTTACTATCCAAATTACACTGATTTCCTCCTATATTATAATGCATTTTTAAAGAATTAAAAATCTTAGAAGATGATTTGCTGCTTACAGTACACACATGAGGTAACATTAAAGACATATAGAGATATCTTCTTGCTTAATGGATTAAAAATATGGTAACTACCGTTTTAATAAGAACATAAATCAAATTCTTGGCACACTGATTTTAGCTCAAAGGAAGCAAAAAAATCTAAGAAACAAAAAGAAAAATTTCTAATCTAAGCAATGACATTTTTAAAATATTTAAACTTTCATTGAATTTTCTTATAAGAATGAAGATATGATTTATACTTACTTTTTTGCATGTCAAGAATCTTATTTTAAAAATTGAGTAAATAGCTATAAAATCACAGCATCTCAAATAGATATTTTCTCCCAAAATTTAGTAAGACCACGTTAGAAATACAAATCATTTGTCTAGTGTCTTAGAACAAGAATAAATAACACCTGCTCAGCTTCAGTACATACACACACACACACACACACACACACACACACACATATGGATTTAGGCAGTATTTTCTAAATTTACTGTTTAAATAACTTTTTGATCAAAATAAAAATCTATGTGGTCATTACTGTAAGTAATTTGAGTCTTTCACATAGCAAAGTAAATTCCTGAAATCACATCAGAAGTCAACCAGAATCTGTTTCTTTGAGAAGTATAAAATACTAAAAAATTTCCCTGATACTTCTAAATAGTTACACCCATTAATCTAAAAGTTACTGATATAATTCTCATGTTCAGTTAATTACATATAACAAGCAGCACAGCAAGAGAATAGATAGTAACTGACCTCATTCACTGTAGCATAGTAGCTTTCGTGCTTGAACGTGGGGGAATTGTCATTTCTGTCTCTCACCACAATCCGCACTTCATGGTAGATGACAGTGCCCACCTTTTTGTTGATGCACTGGACTTGCACTACAATGGAGTGTATATTCATTGGTGGCTGCAAGGCAGAAATTGTATCTTAAAAAACTGAAATTGAAGCTTCTTGTCACTGTCACTGCCCTTATTTCATACAATTTTCTATACTTGTTCATGTTTATAATTGTAATAATCTAGAAAATATGGGTATTCTGCAAGAAGTGACAAGCAAAATAAGAAGTCATAATTATTGCACTCTTCAATTCTGTATATCAAATTTAAGATTTCAGGTATTGGTACATGCCACTTAGATAATTACTGACGATTGAGTCACAAAACCAATACTGAAATTTAATAGGATGAAATAAAGTCAGTCTCTCTCAAGGTTAAAAACAGTGATATGAATGTCTACTTTTTTTTTTAAAGTATTAGTCATTAAATCCTTGGGGTAAATAAGCTGTACAACTTCTTGTTTATGTACTTTTCATTAAGCTACCATAACATTATTGAAAATAAAAATATAGATGATCAAAAGAAGAAAATCTGCTTATTCCAAACTTTGTCATTCTACATATAGAAATACTTATTTGTTAATCTTTTCCTGTATCGAAATATATGTTTGTCACATACTCAGCTATTATCATCTGCTTAAAAGAGATTTTCTTTAGCATTTTGGAATATAACACCTATGAAGTCAGGTTATACAACTTAGTAGTTTTCTGGGAGCCAGGGCTGTGGCATAGTATACTCAGCCTCTACCTGTGGCACTGGCATCCCAGTTTGGGTGCTGGTTCAGTTCCCAGATGCTTCTCTTCCAATCCTGCTCTCTGCTTATGGCCTGGAAAATCAGTGGAACATGATCCAAGTGCTTGAACCCCTGTATCCACATGGGAGACCCAGAAGAAACTCTTGGCTCCTGGCTATAGATTGGCCCAGCTCCGGCCATTGCAGCCATTTGGGGAGTGAACCAGTGGATGGAAGACGTTTCTTTCTGTTCTGCTGTCTGTAACTCTAGCTCTCAAACAAAATATTTGTTAGTTCCTCATTAAAATTTACATAAATTATTTTCTAACTTTCATGAGATGTTTCAGTTATTGCTTTTATCACTGTAATATTTTAATACATGCTACATCTAAATATGGCTCCAATTTCCAAGCTACTTTTCTGATAAGTTCCTTGTAGGAGAAAAGTGTCATTAAGGGAGTATTTTATTTACTCAAATCCTACAGTTAAGAGCTTCTAGAGATGGAATGCATACTTAGCATGTGTTTGATTTCAGAGCCAGAGTATTCAACCAAGGACCTCTCTGACATTTAAAATCTTTTGCGCTCATAAAATGTGTCAATTTTTCAGAATGACCTATCCTGACCATTCCATATTATGTGTCATGTCTTCAGTCTGTCCTTTCAACTTCCTCTTTCACTACTTCCTTGTATTTATTCTATTTCTAATTTACCATTAGGCATATTGTATGTCTTGTATGCTTTGTGTGTATTGCTTTACTAGACTGGATGATCCATCAACTTTGGGTTGCTGTTTTATTCAAGACTGTATCATTCTACCTAATAACTGGCACTGCATGCAAGACAGATGAGTGTATATGACCCTGAGTCCAACTTCCTGGTTTCCTGTCCCAGTCCTGTAACCTATTAATTGTATAACCTAAGAAAGGAGCAAAATCTCCCTGTAGTTATTTATATCTAAAAACAGGGATTAATAATTACACTGTGATATAATCATTGGCAATATTACATGTGGTTATCTATACTGAGCATACATTAAACACATAATAAACCCGAGTATTTTTATTAATAAAAATCTCAATTCTCAAAAGTGATAGACATAAAATATGAACTAATAATTTTGGATTATAGGATATTTGGATCAAAATCCATTTAAAATATTCATGATCACTAGAAGCCCATAAAATCCCATTAAGAATGCTATAAATACATGTGTAAATGAGAAGAAACTTGCTGAAACTCCAACTAACTGAGGCCATACATGCTTAGGTCTCAAGATATTTTTATGCTCTATAAAGAAAAATACCATTGAACAGATTTGTGCTAGTCTGAATAACTTTACCTAAAAGAATAAACTGAGGTCTCATTCACATGAGGAGAAAGATGTCTAGTGAAATGCCCCACCTCATTGCTTTTTTTTTTTTTTTTTTTTTTTTTGACAGGCAGAGTGGACAGTGAGAGAGACAGAGAGAGAAAGGTGAAAGGTCTTCCTTTGCCGTTGGTTCACCCTCCAATGGTCGCCGCGGCCGGCGCATCACGCCTATCCGAAGGCAGGAGCCAGGTGCTTCTCCTGGTCTCCCATGGGGTGCAGGGCCCAAGCACTTGGGCCATCCTCCACTGCCTTCCTGGGCCACAGCAGAGAGCTGGCCTGGAAGAGGGGCAACCGGGACAGAATCCGGCGCCCCGACCGGGGCTAGAACCCGGTGTGCCGACACTGCTAGGCGGAGGATTAGCCTACTGAGCAGCGACGCCGCCCCTCATTGCCTTTTGATATCTATCCCATTAAATCTATATGCATAGAATCTATGACTATCACGAAGCTCAGAAAAATATGTACTTCATTTAAGGACAAAAGAATAGGTTCAAGGTCATCTTTCCAATTCAGAACAATGGGTTATAGAGCTGATTAAATATTCCAGTAATAAATGTAAATCCTAAGTCTTTCATAGGGAAAAACTCAACTATCATCAATGTCTAAACTACCCAACCGCTCCTAGGTAATAAATGCCTGAAACAATGCAATCTAATCATGAAATTTTAATGACTCAAAGTTGATTTTGCATGGCAGTGCTGCAAATGGGCTGCTTGGCCACTAATGTAAACTGTACATTCAATAACGTTATCAGATGTGGAAACTGGTGCATTTTAAGAAGCACCATCTTTCGAGTGAGAAGGCACTTTCAGAATGTGTGGAATAATTTGAGAAAGGTTATTTGCTAAGCATCTAAATGATTGGTATGGAAAAACCTATTAGATTTTTCATTATAGTTCCAGAGACCAGAAATAAGAACAATGAATTAAACATATTACAAAGCATATGTTTTCAATATAAGCAGAGGTTTTCTTTTAAACCAAAGCAGCACACAATAGAATGAACTATCCCATAAAACGACATCCATCACTGAACCTCTGCAAGCTGAAGGATAAAAGACTATTCAAAAAAAGACTAGATCCAAAAAATTTTCTGGAAATAATATGAACTCAATACCCTCTATCTTTACAGTAAAGTGTTAGATGTAAAAGGTTTTTAAAAGAAAATCCTGAATATTTTAATTGTAAAGTAAAACAGAATAAATCTGTGCACCGTTAGCCCTTGGCAAATCTCTTGGAAGACAATCAGGTGAATCACATTCTTCTAACATTATTTATCTTGTAAATGTTTCAAAGGAGATCTATAAAACCATTCCATCTCGAGTTCTATTTCAGCATCTGGTGGTAGCTCTGGGACAGAAAGGTCACAGTCTTTTTGAATAGAAGATCAAACGGATTGTGCACTGAGACCTCACTTACTCCTGCTAAGTACACATAAATTAGAAATAACCAGGTCACCTGGAACTGTTGTCACTCTCCACTTTAGCTCTCTGTGCAACTGTTAGTAGCATGGATGGAATGTAGTGGGCAATAAATTCCAATCACACTGAAGGCAAGGATTCCCTGTGGCTAATATATTACACACAGTACAATTTTGCATTGGAATAATTTTATTCTGCTGTATACCAGGGTCATAAATACATCAAATACTGCTCTACTAAGTCGTTAAGTGAGAGTTAAGGAACTCAACTACTTAGGAATGTGTTAAAGAAATTTTGGTTTTTCATTCATAACTAGTGGCAAAAATCAGTCATGATAATTTTATCTTTTCAAATCATCTTTACTCGCTTCATTTCATGACAAAGAAGGAAAAAGTTATATATCAATTGTTTTGGGGTAATTTCTTAAAACAACTATGATTCATATATAGCTAGACATGCAAACTATGCTTTCCATTTAAAAATGGATACTTAACAGTTTATATTTGCATATTTGTGTATCACTAGACATGTGTATATAGGTTTTCATCAAGAATGACACACATCAAGTTATTGGAGGTTCTCACTAAAAAGCAGTATTTGAAGTGTTAACAAAAGAAAATTTTCTAACAATTATCTAAGTATTTTGTAATTTAAAATATAAAGAAATGCATGTTTAGCCTCGCGGTTGCACTGGGTCCTCAGTCCTTTCCTGCTTATGCAGATCTCAGGTGGCAGCAGTGATAGCTCGAGTAATTGGGTTCTTGCCACACACACAGATGACCTATAGGCTGAACTCCCAGCTTGGGGTTCTGACACCTGCCCAAGGCCATTTCGGATATTTGGGAATTGAACCAGCAGATGGTAGATTTCTCTTTCTCTCTCCCCTTCTATCTCTCCCTCTCTCCCCCACCCTCCCTCCTTCTCCTTCTGTTAGGATTTAACAAGCAAAGTTCAGTTTTATATTAATGTGACAATACAGAGTAAAACACACAGATCTGATATTAAGAAAATTGATTTTTTTCTAGAAATAATATTTGGAGGGCTTAATATGTTAAGCAGAAAATTAATTTTTAGTATACCTATAAGAATTGATTTGATTTTTCATTGAGTGTAGGCAAAGTACTTTTGATCCTCAAGGAATGAATGGTTTTTGGCATGAGTTTCCCTGCTAGGTACATACTACCTTTACAATATAAAAACCTTTTACTACTCACATATAAACTACATTAAAATGAAAGGAGACCCTGTATGTTTTAGAAATAATTTTAAAGCAATAAAATTATGTCTAGCAGTGGTTTGGCATTTCCATCAAGTTTAACTGTCATAATGACTACTATCATTACTGAAGACATGCAGATACTAAATGTAGCAAGTGAATGGAGAGTTGCCTTACTAGAGTAGTCACAGCCCCACATGGATGTGAAAGTCAGGTTTGAAAGAAGACACATTAACTCCTTTGGTGTGGTCATGAGCATAATTCCTGCCCATTCAGAAACTTTTAAAAAATTATCTAACATTTTGAGGTAAGTATTATAGGAAATCAAAGATTATTTTCCTATTATTAAAGTCTCAACATTACCATAATAGTTATTTCTTAAATATTTATTAATTTATTTGAACGTCAGAGTTACACAGAGAGAGATCTTCCAACTGCTGGTTCACTCCCCAAATGGCCGCAAAAGCCAGAGTTGCGCCAATCCAAAGCCAGGAGCTTCTTCCAGGTCTCCTACGTGGGTGCAGGAGCCCAAGAACTAGGGCCATCTTCCACTGCTTTCCAAGGCCATTGCAAAGAGCAGGATCGGAAGTGGTGCAGCCACGTCTTGAACCGGTGCCCATGTGGGATGCTGGCACTTCAGGCCAGGGCATTAACCCACTGCACCACAGCACCAGCTCCATAATGATAATTGTTATCTCATGCCCAATAACGGTTAGAGAATATTGACCACTTTAAACAATAACTTGGCATTTCAGAGTCTTATATGATATTACTTCATTACTGAGACTTATTTTCCCATCAGACATCATATTTTGGTTTTATTATTCAAGACTTTTAACTGCCGATAATTTACATAAATACACTGAACAGAAATAAATATAGGAAATAATGAAATGATTAACACCAGGGCAGGACGTTTGGAGCAAAATTATCTCATGGTTCATTACTCATAATAATATAAAGTTTGTAAATTAAATACAAGTATTTCAATATTGGATGACTTTGCTTTATATTTGTCCTCAGAAATTTTTATGATGATCATTACTTTATGAGGTTATTTAACTTTTTAAAATTTTGCTTCTTTAAGATTTTATTTATTTGAGAGGTAGAGTTACAAATAGAGAGAGGGAGAGACAGAGAAAGGGCTTCCATCCCCTGGTTCACTCCCCAAATGGCTTCAATGGCCAGAGCAGGGCTGATCCAAATCCAGGAGCTTCTTCCTGGCCTCCCAAGTGGGTGCAGGGGCCAAAGGACTTGGGCCATCTTCTTCTGCTCTCCCAGGCCACAGCAGAGAGCTGGATTGGAAGTGGAGCAGCCAGAACCAGAATCAGTGCCATTGATGCAGGAGTAGGCTTAGCCCATTGCTCTACATTTAATGTTAATATTGACACTTGGTTTATATTAAATTTGCTTTTAGTTCTATGCAACCATACTTGTTCAAATGTTTCCACCAAGACAGAGTTTGTAGTCTCAATTTAAAAAATATATAACTTGATTTCGAAGAAGATACACTTCCTCTTTACTAATGCTGCAAAGAGGTAGAATTGGGTATGGATCTACCACCTGACCCTATCTGTCCTTCCTTGCCTATATTTAAGTCAGTATGTACACTTAGTTTTCTGCAGCTCACTAATGTGCAAAAAATAAACACACACAGGATTCTACTGCAGCCTGTGGTAGCTTACAGGGAGCAGACAGGGAATGAACAATAGAAAGGTGAGTCAAGGGCAAAACAAAGGAACAGAGACATGATAAAAATACAAACCAAGTCCAATTTGCATGGAGATACCAAGAATATGCATAGAGAAAGCTGTGTGCTGAAGACTCCATGTGGTACAAGAGCAAGCAGTTTCCCTCTGTCCTTGCAAAATTACAACTTCCCTAAAACCAAATGAGTTTTTCTTTCTATGGTAATATTCTTAATACTCCCTACCCATTGAGTTGAGTTCATTTGAAGACAGTTTTGTGCTTTCCTTGTAAGCCAAAGAACTGTGACTAAAATCAGAATATTCCTAAAAGAGCATCATTGTATTCCAAGAACTCAGTGGAAAATTTCTCACTAAAAATTTGTAAAGCAATTTTCCACTAGGAGTAAAATGAATCATAAGCCAATAATAAGAATATGGAGCATTGGCAGTTTTTAACATGGTTATAACTTGATTACAGGTTGTATATTGCTACTTGTAGCATATTATGATTTATTATTTGTATAAAGGGAGCAACTCACAAAATTTAACACCAAGCTAAAAAATAGATTTCATGAAGTGTCTTGTATTTCAAAAGAAACATATTGAAATTTTAATAGTATCATAGTTATTCATTAATAATGCATATTATAACTTGAGAAACACTTAAATTAATAAAATTTAAGGTGCTACAAATACTTGTATGTATATATTTATATCCCAATGTTAATGCAATTACATTAATACTGGACACTATTATTTACAAATATAATCTGTATGTGTGAAATAGGTACTCATCTTTTTCTCAAATGAATTACCTGTTTGGTTTGTATGGAAAATTGTTAACTAAGAGCATGGAGAGGAATACCCAAGAAAAAAAAAATGACTTCAATCTACAAAAACAATGATAAAAATAAAAATAAACAGTTCCAAGTAGATTAAAGTCATTTCAAATGTTTAAATTATGATTTTTTTCAAATGCTACAAATACTTAATAATATTGGTATGGTGGTATGGAGTTATATACATAGTATTTAGGGAATATTTAATAAGATACATATAATTCACTGTCTTAATAAAATAAATGTATCGTCAAAAAATCTGGACATTTATACAAAGTTTCATATACAAGTCTTGACTGCAGCTTTTTTTGTAGTTATTGAAAACTCTAAGTAAAATTTATGTCCAAAATAAGAAGTTTGAAAAATATCCCAGATTATATAGTGATTTACATGGAAATATAAAAATGACGTATTAAAGGTAGCATGTAAGGGGCCGATGCCATGGCACAGCAGGCTTAGCTTCCACCTGAGTGCTGGCATCCCATGGGTGCCAATTCGAGTATCAGCAACTCCACTTGTGATCCAGCTGCCTGTTTATGTTCTGGGAAACCAGTGGAAGATGGACCAAGTGTGTGGGTCCCTGCAGCAGCATGGGAGACCTGAAGAAGCTCCTGGCTTCTGGCTTCAGATGGGCTTAGCTCCAGCCACTGCAGGCAGCTGGGGAGTGAACCAGTGAGTGGAAGACTCCCTCTTGTGTGTGTGTGTGTGTGTGTGTATGTATGTGTGACTGTATCTCCCAAGTAAATACATAAAAAAATTAAAAAAGGAAAAGGTAACATGTGGGTTGGAAGCATAATAGCATAACATATTTACTTAATTAAAATTAGATCACAATAGAAGTATATAACTAATTCATATATATACTTGAAAGAACCATAAATCTTATTTTCTCTGGGTATTCAAGTTTTTTAGTGCTTTTTTTAAGTTTTTGACATGGTTATCATAAGCTTATGTTATTTTACAATTAATTGCATTTTAATTTCCAGTTGAGATTAGATGTGGACGAGAAGTTCTTTATAGCAGCACTTCAGGCAAAACAGGTGGGGACCACATTATGAATTTTGAGGATAAAATCCATTACATTTTAATGAATGAAGCCCTAAAAACACTGACAACAGAGTGATTCACAAGAATTCAAAAAAATTGAGACAATAAAGGAGATAGCTATCTGCACTCAAAGAGGATACGGATTGAAATGTATCAAAATGCCTAGCTTTAGATGTGAAACAGAGTAAGGTATTATCCACTATATAAAGAATTGTAAAGTGGATCAGAGACCCTGAGCAATGATGTGGAATCATTCAGATTCAATAAGCTAAATATCTGACATTTGAATTTGATAAACCCTGAACTTAGGGGCAGGCATGTTTAAAGATTCAGATACAATTTCAGAGTTTCCTTAGAGTCCTATACAATTACAGGTTTTAATTCCTCCCCTTTGCCTCTCTTTTTTATAACCTAGACTTAGATACAGGTGCCAGTGTTGTGACATAGATAAAGCTTCCACTTGCAGCACCTGCATCCCATATGGGTGCCTGTTTGGGTCCCCACTGCTCCACTTCCGATCCAGCTCCCTGCTAATGCACCTGGAAAAGCAGGGGAAGATGGCCCAAGTCCTTTTGCCCCTGCAGCCATGTTGGAGACAACCCTGGCCATTGCAGCAACTTTGGAAGTGAATCAAAGACTTGAAGATTCTCTGTCTCTCTCTCTCGCTCTCTCTGTCTCACCCTAAGTGTGCCTTTCAAGTAAAAAATAAATCTTCAAAAAAAAAAAAAAAACTTGTATACAAAAAAGCAAAAATGAAGCTACTTTAGAGAACTATTTAAATCTTGTAGTGCTTTTTGAACTTTAAACAAAGGAGCTATTAAACAACATTGCTAATTTAACTCTTCTTAATAGCAAAATATTTATGCTGCCTGAGAATAACCAGATGGGCACAGGCCAGGAAACTTTTCCTTGTCTCTTTTCACAGCTCCATGAGCACATGGGCCATAGACTCACTCCTCCATCAGTCAACGGTACTTATGGGAGCAGCTACCAATCAGTACACCCACGTAACTCTGTTGTCCTATCAATAGTTTAATTGCACCTTCATACTTAGGCACTTTTGGAGAGAAATTAACTCTGGCCATGTTTGCCCTACTTTGCCATGGTTACCACCTCTTTATTCCACTCTTAACGGAGACTGATAATGATTTCTCTCAGATACTGATGTTCCTTATTCTCTCATTCCTCTCTCAAAAGCATTCAAAAAAATCTGTGACTGTTAATGGAACCTGGATAAGGCCAAATTATATAAGAAAAAACCTGAACATCATATTAACAAACACATAAATGTTTAAACTACAGTGAAGTTGTTATACAGTGGTAAAGACAGAAAAAATCACTAACATCTCTATCCAGAACTCTGCCGGTGCTGTTGAGGAAAAGCATCTGTTTAACAGGATCCAACAACACCCAGTAATCCACGTTGTCCTTTAAAGAGAGTTCTATGGTGGGGTCTGGTCCTCCAGCAGTCCCTTTGATCAGCATGTTGTCCACCAGAATTGTACCTGCAAACCAAATAAAGTTTTCGAAAATATAATCTATGCATATTCACTCTTCAGCAAACATTAACAAATGCTATTAAATCTCATACTAATATGCTATTAAATCCCATCGTACCTACAAACACATTTTAAGCAGAAAAATCAGATATTCAGCATAACAAAGGAAGTGCTCTGTGCCAAAGAAGGCAAAAAAAAAAGATCTTCATTAGAAATGATTTTGGGATGTTGAGGTAGGAGGCAGAGATTTAAATCTCAGTGAGCTTCACCATTTATTTCTTGTTTCTCTTGGACAACATGAAGCTGTTCCTCTCCCCATCAATCACTTCTCACAGGAGTTACGAGTGAGTTTTACAGTGAACAAAAGGAAATGCCTGTAATAACAGAGTCTGATACTTCGATTCACTCAGTAAGACTTCTGATAGGAAAAGAGATATCTTGGCAAAAAGAGAAAGGAAGATAAAGGGATAGATAAAATAGTAAAGGAGTCTCCCATGGTGAGAACTGCTTTTCTTTTATTCTAGAGCAAATCCATAAAACATAAATCTTAATGCGAAAGACAAAACTAGTGTGCAGACACAATCGAAGCTATTCTTCTTTAAGACATCATCTGGTGTGTTCGGCTAGAAAAACAAACTATTCCCAAGTAACATGTTCGTTCCTGTATTCTATTTTTTCAGCAGGCTGAATCATAGGTGGTTCTTGAATAATAGTTGAAAAGAGAGCATGTCTTTAACCTTCTCCACTCTGTTAAAAAATCTCAGGTATTTTACAAGTTGAACAAAAACAGCAGTGATACAACTCAAATGGCATTTTCTTCTAATACAACAGCAATTTGATTGCCAAACAATAATGCACTACAGCTTGGAGCAATCATTATCTGCTAATCCGTTTTATTAAACGTAAGGCATATAGCAGACATGTGGCTGTGCAAAACAAAAATGTATCCTCCCAGAGACATGGGAATTAATGGAAAATATCTAGAGAAATCATTGCCTTAGGAAAACGCATAGGATATATAGATAATCTATAAATATGAGTCTGGCTTGAAGATTATGATGTACAATGTACCAGCTGCCCTTTCTTAAGATACATAATAGGCATAATTTTTTGTTTTAAAGATTTATTTATTTATTTTGATAGCATTAAATAGAGAGGGAGAAAAAGAGAGAGATCTTCCATTTGCTGGTTGACTGCCCAGGTGGCCACAATGGCCAGCACTGGGACAGGCCAAAGCTAGGAGCCAGGCACTTCATCTGGGTCTCTCATGTGAGTGGCAAGGACCCAAGTACTTGCACCATCTTCTGCTTCTTTTCCCAGATCATTAGCAGGGAGCCGGATCAGAAGTGGAGCAGCCAGGACACGAGCTGATATCCATATGGATGCTGGCATTGCAGGCAGTGGCTTTACCTACTATGCAACAACACTAGCTCCCTAAATATTTTACCAATACATAATTACAAAAAAAATTTAAGAAGCTAGGAAAAACTTCTCAGAAGATTTTTCTCAGCTATTTAACAAAAACAATAATTGTCTATAATATTTTCTTATAATAATATTACAAATGTATTTTATTTGGAAGGAAACATGCTTCCTTTCTAACAATGAACCTAAGCAATGTTTAAACAAATTCTCTCACATACACATGCTTTTCTAAAGGAAAGCGATTTTCTTCTATTTTTCACATACTACCAAGTGAAAATGTAGACAGTGAGTGAAATTGATCTTTATATTTGATTGAAATGGCAACAATCCACAAATTATCCACCTCAGATCAGATGTTGATGGCATTTTCTCTACCAAAATATGTTCAAGGCTCTAGTACAAACTCATTTGCAAATACTTCTCACAGCATAAGTACAGATAAGTACTTCAATATGCAATTAATTATTCTATTATCTAATCAACAGAATGTACAATAGGCAGAACTAATGTTAACTTGACTCATCAGTGCATAACAGCAGCACTGTCAGATCATTCCACATTATATATACACACTGAGCAAGCCCACTCAGGGGAGGGGGCATTAAGCTCTCCTTTATTTAAAACAATTTTTAAAACCAAACCAAGTTTCAACAGGTATTTTAACACTATTAAATCATGAAATGTAACACTACATCCAAACTTAAAATTTCTTCAATCAGCTTCTTCATATTCCTGGAAGTAACATGAATATTGTTCTGCCTTGGAGCTCATCCCTGTGTGCTTCAAGGAATGAAGAATGAGCAGTTTGTGTTTCTATTGCTAGTGTGTTTAACAAGAAATACAATTCTGATTGTTATTTCACCAGAATATTCCACTCATGTTGCAAAAAAATCTCTCAAGATTTTCATCTGCCATAGTGATTTAGATCAAAACTTTGGGAAAGACAGCATAGTTAAGGCAGACACGATGCAGGGAACAATGTTTTTGAACAAAGGACGTAGGTGCTCCTTACAGTTCTCCTGAAAAACCCTACTCCTCTTCCTCCCTCCACCCCAGAAAAATGAGTGACACCAATTTGAAAAGCAATGAATCAGAAACTCTTCTTCCTCTATCCAGTGGGGAGAACCCTTTCTTTCCACAGGTGTTAGCATTTCTCGGTCTGGGCTGCTGGTGCTCTGAGATGATGCTGGCAAGCAGCAACCAGCAGAATTGCCTGGGCATATTGAGAGAATGCAGTTCCTTTATTTTTCTCTTGCTTTGCAAATTACTCTTTTCATCAGTCAGGCCATTTTGCTTAATACCTTCCATGCGATATTTAATTTCCATTTTTATCCTTGATGTTAAGTGTAAAGACAATGATAATTTTTTAAAGGTTACATTGGGCAAACCTAAGAAGAAAGCTTGGTAACTCTTAATATCAGCCTGAACAAAGAATATTAGTAGGGGTGAAAAGACCTATTACTTGACAAGCAAAGGATCAACAGGTCCTGACCTTGAAGAGATCTGCCTTGCAGAATAGGTGATATCCAGTGAGATTCCTCTTGCATGAAATTGTTCCTCCATTACAATAAAAAACAGTGGTAATTAGGAAAAGGGAATTAAACTTAGCTTAATACTTATAGAATTTAAAAGAGCTGGCCCTGGAATTAACAGGTTTAGATTCTGTCATGGACCCTTCCCTTGCCAGCTATATGAAAAAGAATCAGCACAGACTTCCCTCCTCTGTAATATTAGTATCAAAGAACAGATTTTTCTAACACCATATGGATGTTCCTGAAGAAAACACTGGATTCTAGAATGTCTAAGATAATCATCACCACAATAAAAATATTAGCACAGTTAATTGTTGTGACACTTTTAGCAATGTCACACTCAGTTTTTGACATCTTTGACTATTGAGATTTGTGCTTCTTTCTTTCAAGGACTAGGCAATGAGGGTCATTTTCTTCTAACTGGAGACTGTTTTACCAAAACTGGAAAGTTAATCCACTATTATTCTATTAACATATGGCTTCCATTCAAAGAACTATCTTAGCAGCTCTTTCATCTGTATTACTATATTCTTCAGAGATATTAGCATAGTATCAGTTACACATGTTCATGTAATCATCAATGCATAGCCTACTTACATTAAGTGTTTCAGATTTCATTTTTATTAAGATCTTGTTACATTGGTAAGCTGTTTTTTAATTGTAAAGAATGCTTAGATTACATCAATACAAATATACTGGAAAATAAATACAACTATATAGTAGTCTGATTATACCAACTTCCTTCCTCTATCATTCATGTATATAGATAATTCACATCCAATAGGAGCCTCTAGGATCATTTTGATGACCAAATGAGCTGACAGCACATGTAAGCTGCTAATTCCAGCTCTTGTTACAGAGTAATGACACAGAAATAGGAATTGTATTTGTTGCTCATGATATTAGATTCTTTTTGGTATGAAAAATGTCAGAGAAGAAAAAATGCCTTTTTTTGGTCATAGGAGTCTTTACAAAGCAAGTCTACTGTTCAGGTCACAGAGCAGGGATTATCGTGTTTCATCAACACATAGGTACAGAAACCTATCTGGAAGAATTCACATGGATTAAAATGAAAAACAGCAAAATAATAATTATTAGAATTAGAAAGTAGGGAGGGGGTCGTTGCTGTGGGTACAGCTGTGAGTGGCAGCGCTGGCATCCCATATGGGCTCTGCTTCAAGTCCCAGCTGCTCCACTTCTGATCCAGCTCTCTGCTATGCTATGGCCAGGGAAAGCAGTAGAAGATGGACCAAGTCCTTGCACCCCTGCACCCATGTGGGAGACCTAAAAGAAGCTATAGACTCCTGGTCTCAGAAAGGCCCAGCTCTGGCTCCAAGTGAGGCCAACAGGCAAGTGAACCAGCAGATGAAAGATCTCTCTCTCCCTCTCTTTCTTTCCCCTTTCCTTCCTCTGCCTTTGTAACTGTCTTTCAAAACAAATAAATCAAAGAAAAAGTGGGGAGAGAAGGCCCATACTATATTAAAATTGTAAAGAGGACCTCATGTCTCCAAAGGCCATGTCTTCTCATATATCAGCCTAACTATCAGGGAACCCATCCAAGCCTGCAATTACTAGAGTGGTCCCCATTCCTTTTACTTCCTCATCTAATTCTTAATTTCCTCATCAAATGTCAAATTGGAATTGATTGATGGAAAAGAACTCTTTAACAAATACATACCGAGAGTTTATTTACATGGCTAAACGGGTATAGCAGCACTGACTTAAGCTGCTCTGGGGTATTAAAGGAACAAAGGAAGGACTATGTTTCCATGAGTCTGACTGACAGAAATTTTGGTAAAGTAATAAAATAAACAAACAGTGAAGAGCCCATGGGACAAAAGGAGAGAAGACAGAGACACCACTGCAGCCACTCCCTCTGCACAGCCAGCTGCTGGCTGTTAACTGCCATCTTACCACTTCAATGTAGGAAGAAATTGCCATGAGCCCCATTGCTCAGTTTTACTTGAGAGGGAAGTCCACAGTCAGCCACTGACTTTTACTTCAGCTTGGAGATCTGACTAGGGAATGAGCAACTACCAGGGTTGGCGC